CTGTTTACTTAAGAAAATATTTTTCTATTTTTAATTAAATAAAAATTTACTAAAAGTTTTATATATAATTTGAAAATCATATACTCTATCTTTAAAAAAAGAAATTTTATTCTTTTATATTAATATATAAGAGAAGCTAGTAGTATATCATTAAAAGATATTCTAAAATTTTATATAGAATTTCAGAATATTCTTCAAAATTATGATTCTAAAAACATATTCAACTGTGATGAAACAGTTTTTTATTGATGACTTGAACTAAACAAAACACTTGCATATAGTCCAGTTTTAGGAAAAAAAAAATCAAAGAATAGAATTATATTCATGATTATTTGTAATTCTACTGGTAATGAAAAATTATCAATTTTTTTTATACACAAATATAAAACATCATATGCATTTCATGGTATTAAAAAACTTAGTCTTCTAGTTTAGTATTACTGGAATAAAAAAAAATAAATGCAAAGAAGTATATTTAACTATTTTTTAGAATGATTTAACAATAAAATAAGACTTGCTCAACAAAATATTATTTTACTTCTTAATAATGCTTTATTACATTATTTAAAAAATTTTCAAAATTTGTTAAATATTAATGTACACTTTTTACCACCTAATACAACATCTTGTCTTTAACCAATTAATCAAGAAATTGGTTATAGTATTAAAATAAAGTAATTTTTAAATAAGATTATACAAATTTAATTACTTAGTTTTTATAATATAAAATTTTAAATTAGACCTGACTGTCTAGTTTTTTTTTTTTAAATTTTATATGTAAAAATTTTATAAAATACTATAAAATTTTTTTATAAAAACCTATCTGGTTATTAAAATATATAAAAATTTTTTTAAAAGTTTTCAAACTTTAATTTAACTAGGTTATAAAAACTAATTATTAATTTTATATATTCTAATTTAGTTTTTTTTTAATTTAATAAAAGTTATACTTATCTATTTTCTTATAGACACAATATTAACATATTTTTTGTCAAAACTGTCTTGAAGCCTATGATGCAATTATTGAAAACAATCCAGTTTCTTTTGAAGTTACTATATATAATGCAATTAATTTTGTAGCTCAAGTATAGACAAATGTTATTGCAAATACAATTATTCATAACTAGGATAGAACTAATATACTTCTGTTTACAAGAAATTTTGAAATTAATCTTATTTCTATATAAGAAAAAACTGAGTTAGAGTTAGAAATTGAAATTTTAGATTTTATTGAATGTTTACCAACTGATGATCCTTTAGATGTGTATAAATATATTGAAGTCAATAATTATATAAATATTGAAGAAAATTTAACTGTAAATAATATCATAGATTTAGTAAATGGACAAGATAAGAGTGAACTAGAAGAAGAAAAAAGTGAAGAAATAGTTAAAATTGGTGATGCAATTGTAGGACTCAATAACTTGATAAAATATATTTAGCAAAATGATTTAGAAATTACTTTATTATTAATGAAAAATTTATATAATCTTAAAAGGTATATAGTTTATTTATGAAATGAAAGTAAAAGACAAGTTACATTAGAAGAATTTATTAATTTTAATATTTAGTTTTTTTCTAAATATAAAGCATAATTATCGATTGATAATTTTTATGTTAAAAATATAAGTAGTTAAATCTTACTCAATTATATTTTATATTTATTAAATATATTCAATATTAGGCTCAAATTAAATATAAACTTTTACTCTATCTCTATTAAGTTTTAATCTAATATAAATTTAATATGTTATATAACATTTTATTCTATAATATAAAATTTCACATTGATTCGTCAACTTGCCCATTTATTTATATATAAATACATTACCGTAGTTCTAAAAAAAGTAATTATAGTACCTTGAACCTGAATAAGCCTTTTAATTTATTAACTATATTAGTAATGTGGTAGAATCGTCCTAACGATTGTCGCAACTGAGTTTAAATTCTCGTAACTTGCCTTAACTATAGTAAATAATAATAAGTTACGGCATTATAGCTGTAACTTATATTATTATTTACTAGAGTTAATGCAAGTTACAAAAATTTAAACTCAGTTACGATAATCATTGGGACGATTCTACCGCATCACTAAACTATATACAATTTATTTATATTATTATAGAATTTTTTCAAACATTTTATAGTTCATTAATTTTCAAAAAGCTTATTCAGATTCAAGTATTAGAAGTAATAGTAGGTTTCCGATTTTAGTAGTAAGCTAGTTAATGATTTCAAGACTAGTAAAATTAGTAGTTTTAATAGTAGAGATTTTGTAATTTTAATACAGTAGTAAGATGTTCACAATTTCAATATAGTGTATTATAAAAAAAATTATTTTTTTGATATAACGGAGATTTATATAATTTATTATAATATCCGATATATAGCGAGATTTTTATATTGTGGAGCTTTTGATATAACGGAGTTAAGAGCTGGAACCATAGCCTCCGTTATATCGAGAGCCACGTGTATATTAAATACAAATTAAAATTTCTAGATATTTAGTAATCTAATTTAATTAAACTTTTTTTTTATTTTGTAGAACTTACTAAGTTTTACAAAATAAAAAAAGGTTTATTTAAATTAGATTACTAAATAGCTAGAAATTTTAATTTTTATTCATAAAATCTACATAGTCACGTCAAGGCAAAGACCCTATATAAATAAATTTACAATCAATGCTCGAATTTTTGCATAGTAAATAGTTTGAAATAACAAGAATCTTTTGTATTATAAATATGTTTAAACATATAATTTTGTCTTCTGATAACCGAATATTTCTATATAGTGAAGGCATTAGGTCAAAATGTGAACTTCGCTATATAGAATATACCTAATGTTAGTACTAATGAATAATTAGAATATTCGAATAATTTAAAAAATCTTTTTTTTTTTGTCAGACCCGTAACAAAAAATCCCTCCTCTCGTGATTTTTATCCAATTAGATCGAAAGATCAGGTGTAATGAAATCTTTAGGGTTAGGATTAAGCCACGTTAGCGTTAGGAAGGTTAGGAAGGAATTTTTTTTTTGCGGAAGATCTACAGGAACGCTAAGATCAAACGTCATACAAAGGTAAAATGGCAAGCCACAGCTAAAGTGGCGTCAGTGATATCGGCCAATCGGAGATGAGATATACCAAGGAAAGCTCTCCTGAAGTTTGGGTACGTACGTCGCTGTTGCGGCATATAGTTATCCGAAATTCCAATTTGAAGGGTTCTCCACATGACATAAATGGGTCTTTTCTAGCAAAATGATCCTTCAAGATTATGATTTACATAGTCTTGAGAGTTATTTGTTACATTGTGGTAGTGGTACACTCGAACTTCAGGGGTAATCTTATGAGGTCGAGGATTGGTGGACTGACTTTCGTACTTAGGTAAATTTAGAACTGTATTAAATTCTACATTTATTTCAATCACATGACCTATAAGCCCATGATTTTTCGTATGCTACATTACAGCTAAAATAAAGTGCTGCAGATTCTTTTTTCCGAGTTATATTCATTGGTAGATTTACATCAATTCCAGATTATACCAACTCCGGATATAATGAACCTTTTTATGATGAATGCTATTCCATAATGGCTTTAAAAGTATAATACTTGCTATAATGGACCTTTATTGTTATGACTGTATTTATCTTCCAGATGTTACGTTTTGTAAAATTTTTATAAATGAGAAATTATTGCTACAAGTACGTATAAATTAGGACTTAGAAAAATAGATTTAACGATTTAGACTATTAATTATAGACGATTAATTATAGACGATTAATCATTTCACATGTGTAACGTTAGCAACAACTACTTGTGGCTTGGTTATTTGATACGCACGTACGTACGTACGTACGCACAAAACTATAAATTGTGTAATTGTTATTCCCATACCTTGGTATTTCGATTGGTATTGTTCTTTTTACCGAACTGATTTTTATATTCGAGTTTATGCTACGGTGTTTGTCAAATGAATACACATACTTTGTGACAGACAAACTGCCTAACATCAGGGCGCTACACACCTTTATAAAGTATGTAGATTTTACCTTGATTTACGTTAGGGTTTGAAAACTTTAGTGCATTAGTTTCATATGTTCTCAAACTCTAATATTAATTCTTTTTAAGGAATTATCACAACTCCTTGTATATGAAGAGCGTTCATAAATACTGATATGACCTTTTCATAATTTATCTCGTTAAACCGACAGTATCTTATCCCGATTTTTTTATGCCAAGACCAAAAAACATCAAATTCGATTTGATTAAGAATTTAAAAATGTCAGCTACTTGCGTTGCAGAATCCTCTTCATCTCCTACTATTACCGTTACCGCATCCGCTTCCACAAATGTCCCTATTGCCATAACTATTCCCCCCGAGATTTTCATCAAAATATGTGAACATTTACCACCTTCAGATCTTTTATCGTTGACTGGTGTTTGTAAAAGATTTCGTGGATTTTTGTGTTCTCCAGAATCTTTATTAACACAAGATATCTGGCGTACTTCAAGAATCTGGTTCTTACCCGGCCTTCAATTGCCACCTCCTGATGGAATGTATGAAGAAGAATATATTAGATTTGCATGTTTATTGACTCGTTGTCAATATTGTACTTCTCAAAAAATGGTCAAAGTTTACTGGCAATTTCAGGTTAGATGTTGTCAAGAGTGTCTATTAAAATATACTACACCCATCATGTAAATATATGTTTACAAGTTTTTATTACAAAAAAGTCACTTTATTGATAAATTTTTGGTTTAATATATATATATATTGATTTATTTATTTATTATAGTTACAGTAAAGATCATAATTGGATGACTGACAACGTGTTCACTGGCTTGGTATATGTTAGGCATAATAATCAAATTCTTTTCTGGACTTCCGATCTAAAAGCATCATATAGAGAATTTGAAGTAATTAGTGGCAATAATTATCTGAAATGGGTTGCTGACCGAAAAGAAAAGCGTATTCGTATAATGGATGATGCTGCTCTGCGTGATCAAGCAGCTGCAGCTGCTGAAGAAGAAAGCAATAAACTATTAGGTTCTGCTACAACTGATACTACAACTAATATACCAACAGTTAGCGCTTTAGGTGTTGATGTTGATCCAAGACAATTTGCACTTTCACAAATTCGTATCACTGGCACAAGGTCAAGTGTTTCTTCAGCAGTGTCAGCGTTGCAACATTTTGGTCATATTGATACCCTCGACATTATGATAATGGATTCCCCTTAATTATTGTTTGGATGGGTGGATTGCGATGGAAAAAAAGTTTTAGCACACATTAGTTGATTATGATGTCGATTCTCAATGAACTGATGGTGAGATAGCTTTTACCCTTTTGTTTTGTTTGGTAATTCGTTTTGGCCTATTACCTCTATATATGTTAGGTCAATTGTAAAACAAATTCGTAATTTTTTTTCTTAGAATTACATTTATATACCATCAATATATATCTTTTTTTTTTTTTTTACATTTGATATTTTAGCCAGCTTTCCTTTTTTGTTTTAGGGTTTAAGTAGTTAAGCGTATATTTATTTTTAGCACTTTGCTCGGTGATCATCACTCGGTTAGGTTTTAAAAATACCTTTTACTTTTGCAAAAACAATTTTTGGCACATTAGTATATATTTGATATTTATTAAATGTTTTTTTTTTTGAAATAGCGTATGTATAGTTATACAAAGTATCGATAAAGTTATGGACATGTTTCTGTCAAACTTTTTGATACATGTTTATGTGAAATTTTTTTTTTATAAATCAAAAAAGAATGTTATATAAGCGTTGACATTAACTATATTAACTATATTAAGTAATATATATTAAGGAAATGGGGGTAAAATTTATATCTTAGTTTAATTTAATTTGTCTATGAATATATATTATCTGAGGTTGGTACACCTCCATGTATAAATAAATATTACTATCATTGAAAATTAATTTGATTTGCTAATTAGATACACAAAATATTTATAATTGTTGATTTTGTTTAAAAAAAAATGAATATGATATAAGCGTTGAATATTACATGATTTTGTTTAAATAGCAAAACTTTAAATAATTAAAATATATATTATATGACATGATATGTTGCATTAAAAAAAAATCGTAATTACTTTTATAAGTATTGATTTTGTATATTTTATTGAACGATTTTAGATTTTTGCATCATGAACATTAAATTAGACAATACATATTTAACATTATTTGTATAAATTTAAATATATAAAGCATTGATTAGATATTTGGGATAAGTCAATAGAAACTAAGCAAATTTTATCAAATTAAGTTCTTGTTAAGTTACTGTTATTTAAGCTTTAAAATTTTTATGTAAAAAATTTGCATTATTTTTATTGGCTTACTCCCATTATTAAAATAGCTTTATTTGAAATTTTTAAAAATTTTATTACAATTCCTATTTTGATAAATTATTTTTAAAACTGTTATGATTTGTAAAAAAATATTTACTATTTAGAATTACTATCAATATTGTTATATTTTAAAAATGGGACTAAGAAACAGGGTTTGATATTCAGAACACTTGAAAACCTTATGTAACCTAAAATTTGAGCTATTATCTGTAACCTTTGTCTTGGTCTTAAAATGTACTCTAACTCTAAATTTTAACAAAAATTATATTTGGAATTGAATATTACTGGTAGTATATAGTAATTTTCTTTGTAAATTTTAAATCAAATTTTTATTAAGTATTTGTTAAAGTATAATATTCAAAGTTTAAAAAAAAATTTATATTATTAATTAATTATAAAGTGAAATTATTTATATTGCAAGTAATTTGTTATAATTTTTTAAAATAAATATATATTAAAGTACAATATAATAAATATAAAAATTTTCACTTATTTAAATACTGAACTTCAAGCTTTATTTAGCAAATAATATAAATAAATTATTTTTACTCGTATATATATATAGTGCATTTTGAAATATTAAATAAATTGGCTAATAAAAAAAAAATTAAATTATAATATATAAAATACTAAATATTTATTTAGCTAAATTGTATTTTATTATTTTTTATTTTTGATAATTAAGGGCTTACAAAACTATATTATCTATACTTATATTGTATATTGGTTTATAAAACTATTACAGAAATAAAAAAAGTATTGCATGATGTTTAAAAGTATTTTGAATAAAAAAAATGTAATAAAAATGCTTTTTAAAATATATATAATTAAAATTTTTGGAAAAAAAACTTTTATTATACTTATTAAAATATACAAACTATTACAGTAAATGTATACTATGTATTGGCTCGGCCTAGGAAGGTTACGGAAGAATCTACACGTATACAGATCGTTATACGTAACTGAGACAGAACAGACAATGTATAAAGTTGAAATTAAAACTTTTGCATAAAATCTATTTGAAATAGTTCTTACGAAGGGTTTTCAACCTCAAAGAGCTTATAAATTTAAATTAAAAAATAAAATAAACTATTCATGACAAAAATGAAAAAAAAATTTTGCACCCGAAGGCGCATCCACTCAAGATTGAACGTGTCATCCTTGTGCAGGGGCCATGCTAATCTTCTCTGTATCGTTCCAATTTTAATAAGTGTCGCTCCGAAGAGACGACACTAGTAAGGGTATCTGTAAATTTATATATTACCTATAATCATGCATCCAAAAAATTATGGGATTCCGATTTTGAAAATCATTTGATTGGTTGATGATTAGGTAACCGCACATCAAAATTAAATCGGTTTTGGACCAATCGTAAGAGGACACATAGCTCACGTGGCTAACTTTGCATAATGCCGACCCTAACGCTAGTCAGGGACGCCGAAAAATTTTTGATAATTAGGAACCACCTTCTGCGCCCTAATAAAAAAACAACCTTCAGCGCTCTAATAAAAGAATCCATTATGAAATTTTGGTATAGACTATGCCTTATTGTCTCTATCCTAACTCTAATGTGATGCTTTAGTACTTTAAAATATTGTGCATATTAAAGTTTTGATTTGAAGAGAGCCTGTTTATCGATCTTATGGTTTCATTGAGGTAGTCCGACAACCATCTATCCAAAATTGATCAAAATATTTTTATAGTCGTTGAGATATCTTTGCTTAAATTTGAATTATTATGTAAGTTTTTCAAGGCTTTGAACGAAAATATCTTAACACCAATCTGTCTAAATTGATAAAAAAAAAATCTTTTTTTAATTATATAATTCTCTAGAGTTGAAATAAAAAATTTTTATTTTAATTTAAATAGGTGGTTATCGAGATATCTTTGCCAAAAGGTTGAAAAAAATTTACACTTGGATTGTTAATCAAGAATCTCTACATAAAGACCAAAATGAGGATTTAATTTGCTTCTGGATAATTCAGGTTAAATTAGCTTATTAATCTATAACGGACGAACTAGGCTTTTAAATTGACTCAAGTTCTGTTTTATTTGAAAGTTGAGGACGCAGTATATGATCTTTTTGTTAATATACATAATGGATCAATTTAGATATAACATAATGGATCAATTAGAAAGATTACTTGAGATTCTATTGAAGGGCTATTGTTCAATCGTAGAATATCTAACCCATCAATTCCTTCCAATGATTGTTGTTTTTAATTCAAAAACTGTAACACTATTCAACAATAACACAGTCGGAAATCCAAGATATAATGTAAACTCCAAATTCATTAACTATTTGAGACTTTTCATTACAATTATTGAGAGTATCTCTAAGAACGATACCATTCGGAATTTGGATGCTATTTCCTTGATCGTCCACAAAATCTTTGCGATGTTAGGATTTATTCTTTTGATCTTCATGTTGATATTGCCGCCAAATTCGACAACACTTACATGGTTTTTTTAAGACGTTATAAAAATTCAACACCTGTAGATCTCCCACAAAAAAATTAATCAAAAATTCCCCCCCCCCCTAACGTGACTTAAAGATTTCGTTATGCCTGATCTTTCGATCTAATTGAATAAAAACCACGAGGATGGATTTTTTGTGGGATACTTTAAAATTCTGCTTTGCAGATCACATGCCCAATAATTGACTCCATCACTTGAACACAGTGATTTAAAATTTAGTCTAACCACCAATTTTCCGAAGCTTTTCGATGACAATGCTCGTATTTTGTGTTAGTTCAGTAGTTCCTTCCGAAAATCTCTGGAAAACTCGTAATTTGATTGGATCCTAGTCAATTATCCGTGATGAAATCTCATCAACCCTGCTTGAACGTTACACTAACTCGAAATTTGTTAAGTAGACAAACGAGAAAGTGTTCAGTACAGGTCTATTATATATAATCTCGTTTTTTTTTTACTTTACTGTGTTGAATCTAGCATATCTAAATTTAACTCATGAAAAATGATACTAAGATAATCAACCTCTAGTGTTAAATACATACTATACAATAATTTCTGTAACGAAATACTATATTTAAATATTTAGATATATTAAAGAGTTATATAACGTATAAAAAGTTCTCACTTTTTATTGACAAGTTAAAAATTAGATTTCGAAAATTGCACAGCAAAGTATTAACGTTAACAATTAATGATATCTTAAATGATACTTTTAAAAAAAAACCATATACTTGTATTATACAATAAGTTATAAAGCTAACTTTTGAAAATCGAATTTACATATATAGTATAAAATTGCAATGTACATTATCTTTTCGTCTACTAATAAAATTAATACGTAGTTCAAGTTTGTTTTTAAAAAGATGTTAAGAAAATTAATAAGATATAAATTTCTATGAACAAAGATTATTGTAGTACAGTAGAACTGACTTTTTTTATACGTGAATATTGTTGATTTCAACGCTCAGACTTGATTGATGCCTATTTATTATTATTAAAATTTTATACGTACGATGGCTGCGTTTCATAAGACATTTAAGTAATCATTTTTGTAATTAAACATAACTACCAAGTATATTATATATTAATATATGATACCTATATCTAATACGTATAGCCGATTAGCACTATGTATATATATATGTTTAACATAGTAGACATTGATTTTACGTAAAGATCTTGACATTGTTAGTATTGCTAAATACAACCCATTTAGTACTGTTAAGTAATTCTCTTGCATATTGTACTCCCAAAAATTCCACCCTTTCCAATAAAACTAGCGCTAAGAAAAAAATTCAATTAGTACCCTTGACAAGCTGATTCTTCAAATGGTTAAATCTATGACGGCAGTTATCATTATTTCTTCCATTATTCATAATATCAGCAACACGCTTCCATTTGCCTTCTCCGGCAATCTTTTCCAATGATTCTAGTAGCAATCTATCTTCTTCGGGGGTCCAAGCCCCAAGCTTTCTTTTGGGTTTATTACTTCCCTCTTTAGTTTTATTATCACCATCATGGTCGACTTCAGTTCTGGTAATTACATCATTGATCTCATCATTTGATGATTCTTTTTTAACTATTTTCTTCCTGTTACCGGTTTTAGTTCGTTTAGATTTTGGCTCAACAACAGAGGAAGGAACTGCAACGGTTTCTTCTGCGATGTTATTAGAGCTCAGTGTAGTTCGTTTTCTTGACTTATTTTTTAGTGAAGGTACCACCTTTTTACAAATTAATTGAATTTGCGAAGAGAAAATAATCAGATAAGATATTATATACATAAAAGAGAAAGCTTTAGAAAGATAAAAAATCTTGTATACTGCATCACTGTCTCCACTCGGTGAAGCATCTTTTTTAATCATGTCTTTTTCCGCGTCAGACATTTTTCAAAATTTATCTACAAGTGTATAATGAATGTAATGAAGTGGAAATATAAGAAATTTCACGTTTAATAGTATAATGTCAAAGCCATCTTCACAATAAAATGTTTATTTGCTTTCATGTTATTGAATAATGTTGATTATTCTCTTACCGATATTAAAAAAAAACAGGAGTTATCGACAATTTAAGGAAGTATAATGTAAAATGGAACAGAAATGAAGAGAATTACCGTTACTTATGTTTAAATCTATTCCATAGTATATCTTTCGAAATAACGCCCCGGGGTGTAGGTAAAAAATTTGGTCGAATTAATCATAATTCGGCCTAAATTAACCTTTATTCGAGCCAAAGTTTTAATCTACACCCCGGGCGTTATTTCGAAACAATGCGATATTGACAAATCATATCTTGTATTGATGAGCCCTTGAAAGTTTAATAAATATAACTTTGAGTCACCGTATAGCAAGTAGGGTTGTAAAATTACGTAATTTTATGTTATTTTGCGTAAGCTTTCGGTAAGATAAACTTTATACAGAATCTATTGTAATTCAATAATGCTAGCTGAGTTTTTCATAATTCTGGGACCTTTAATGACGTGGATGCATCTACAGCGAATCAAAGAACAAGATCAGGTGTAACATAAAAGACTTAGAAATCGCCTTTTGCGTACTAACAAAAGAAATTACTTGCAAGATTATATTATCTATTAATTCTGACATTAATATTAAACTTTTTAAGGATAAAATGGCATATAATTTGGTGCGAATCAACTCTGATAGCAAGTGAAGAATTTTGTTTATAATCACATGTTTATTTGCTATATAACAGTAATACGTACCATGTATCAGGTATGTAGTAGATTTGAATCTCAAAATAACTGTCACGAAATAACGCCCCGGGGTGTAGGCAGTGATGTAAATTGAATACGCGCAGTAGGCGCAGCACACATAAACTTAAATTTGCGCATATTATAATTTTACTTTATATATATGTATATAACTTTTTTGCGCATATTTTTAAACTGGATTTTAATTTTTGCGCCAATAAAAATTTTTTGAATTTATAACGCCGGGTGTAGGTTAAAATTTTGGCCCGAATTAATTGTAATTCGGCCTAAATTACGATTAATTCGGGCCAAAGTTTTAACCTACACCCCGGGGCGACGGAAGTCGATGGCAAATTTTAAATAAATATTGAAAGCATTTTAATTATTACATTCTTTTAGTATCATTTTCTTTTGACATAGTACATATTCCATCCATTGGTTCAATCACTTGTACTATATAAATTCGCAATCAAATATTTGACTTGTTGTCTAACAGATAATGCAAATAGTTTCTATAAAAACTAGGTTTTATAATATGTACAAGTTTCGATTCAAGTATACGATTGATAATCTCTTTCTTATCAACAAGCAGATTATATAATTGCTCGACCTTAACGTGTTTATCGGCTAAAGTTCCATGAAATATATACTACGTTTTGTATTATCAAACTATTAATACTGACATCAGGCTTTTCAGATTTAACCTTGTTGTGTAAACAATATCATTAGTATCGTTTTTATTATTTTGTTTCGGGTGACATGATAATATAAATGATAAGTTTTATACTCGTAATTTCTACAAGGTAGGGATGGGATGTTAAAAGCTCAACTTACAACATTTAAACCTAGAGATGGACTTTGACAACAAAAGACCATGTAACTACCCCAAAAATATTCAAAAATTCTGAGCACTATTTACAGAATCAAATGTTATGTGAATCTAAGATCAAAAATCAAGTTTTTTTAAAGAATTCCTAGTAACTCAATATTCATTTATGAAGTTAATATCTGCATTCTGATAATAAAAATTATTTGCAAAATTTTGGTAGAAGACTATTTCTACTAGACCTTAACTTTGTTGTAAGATAAAGTTCTATTTAGAATAGGAAAAGTTTTATGCATGCAGTAAATAACTATGACACGTAATAAATACGTATGTCGTACCTCAAATTAGGATTCAAAGTTTGAATACGTATCCTAATTTTGTAAATTCTTAAGCGAATTACATAGCTAAAGAATTAGTAAGAGTAGTTTTGATTAGTATGATAATTGTTTATATGTCATCAATATAAATAACCCACTAAAACTGGGTAACCTTATTTTAATTCAGAACAACCAGATCACTATACCGATTAAATTTCATAATAAAAACAAAATTTTAATTCAAATTTTTTAAAACTATTGCCAATAAAAATTTTCGAATACCCATTCCATATCCTTCTCGAAGCTTTTGCAGCTTCAAACCCTAGAACCCAGGTTTTTCAATCGCATTATTTGTTGAAGAAAAGTTCCGATTTTTCAATAAGCTTTATTTCCTATATTTTGTAAACCAACTTTATTAATATGTAAAAAAATATGCATTATATAAATAATATTTCTTTTAATTTAATGGCCTTACCATTTGTAATTTTAACACGTTTGAATCATATCTATATTTAAATCTATTTCGGCTTCCTTATAATCATAATATTCCACTTCAGGATTAGCCAATGCGACGAGTAAATTATTCTTGATAGCTTCCCAAATCATTTTTTGAGGTTCACAAAGAAGCGGATATTTATTATTACGTTGAACCTTATTACTGTATCAAAAAAAAAACTATTCATAATTCCTAGTGGTGAAACTTATCGCTTGATTAAAAAATTATGATTGTGCTATTTATTATTAAACAAATCAATCTAACTACTATTGGTTAATACGAGATTGTTATATGTAACAGGTTGTCGCGAATAAATTTATTTATATATAAATTTCTAACGAGTTTAAAAAGTAAAAAGAAATATTTATTATCGTTATCGATTATTGTAAACTAATTATGCTGTAAAGTTAATTTCGTCAATTTCATCATTTCACCAGTCTTACCAATTCCATCAATTTCACAAATTCCCCAAATTTTTATTTGGGTGTAATTCTGGCGAAAGCATTTCACCATTTCACCTGGAGAAATTAAACAATTTCAGCATCTTTAGTCAGTATTACAAAAGTATGCAGTCATTGTTTTATACATACGTATAACGGTCAATTCACTTGATATTTGATCGAACAACTATTTGATCCCTGTCACAAGACATAAACGTCCGATATTTCATGATTCAGTGATTAGAATTAATCGATTCGTCTCACAAAGACGAGTCGATTCATAATGACGATCCATATAATATCTTTGTATCAGAGTCCTCGGATTTTTCTAAAGCACTAGAGATATTACGACAACCACATATCCAAATCCAACCAAAATTGGTTTATTTTAATTCTACATGTCTATAGAATACAAAATAAAAAAAAAATTTATCGAGTTTAGTTTGATTGTTTTCGTGATATTGCTTGTGCTATTTTAGACGCTAGAAAAATCCGAGAACTCTGCTTTGCATCCCTTTATCGTTGTATGTTTCTAAATAAGTTGTTGATTTAATTTGAAATTTGATTGGATTAATATAATATCGCGCTAATGTTAGATTTGTAAACTAAAAATAGAAAAAGATCCCTAAGTTTCAGGATTTTATATCATTCTTAAACAATCGGATATATTCTCCTTGAAATACATCACATATTTATTAGATTTTTATTCTTATTGGCGGTAGTCTGTCAACTTTCTGAATTCTTTACGTATAGACACTTTTTTTCTCGTTTACTTGAGCTCACCTTAGAAAGTAGTAATACCACCGTCTAATCGATAATAACGATAAAATGTGGGATAACATGTGGGGTTTATTGTTGTTAATTTTATTCAATATTTTACGAGTAAAAAGTGGATCGCAATTTATTAATTGCCTAGGTAATTCAAATTATCAAGGTATTCTTGACTATAGTAAAGACAATCTCGCTTCAATGTATAATTACGGTTTCACTTATGGTTGTTATAATGGCAAATGCTCCGGATTTCCCAGTCCTTTCTCCGAATTGGATATAACTTTTCAGTGTACCAATCTTAGTCAATCGACTTTTTGCATTACTACCGGTTCCAGTACGACTGGCAATTATGGAGGTTTATGTGGAGGAATATTGGGTAATACAATAGTATCTAATTATTCGAATGCTAATGCTTTGAATGGGTGTCCTTCTCTTAATGCTGTAGCTAATGCATTATTAATTGGACCGACTACTGACACGGCTTTCACCTGGTTATGTTGTGATAATACTTTAGGTAGTTGTAAACCACTAAGTAATGTCCCGATAAATAATGGTTGGGCAACAACAAACTGTGGTCATGGTATCTTCTTCAACAGTTTAATGTGTTTCGCTGATAATGGCGGTTGGGCATGCGCTGGTGGCCAGAACAATGTAGTGGTTGTCAACAAACAACCAGTATCTTCTATGTATACGGGTATTAGTTCAACTAGTGTTAACAGTTGCATATTACAACTGGGAGGAATAGGGTTATCTAATAACTTACTTTCAAACTCATCTAATACCAATTCTTCAAACTCATTTTCAAACCCATCTAATAAAGGAGATACAAAGTCAAATACTGTCTGTGAAAATAATAATGTTAAGCTCCTAGCAACTACTATTCCTCTATGTGCTCTTTTATTTTTAGCTATTAGTTTAGTTTTTTATTATCGACACAAACACAAGAGATCGTTGGTATATTCTAATACTCAGGAAACCAAAGGCCACCTATCTCAAGTAGTGAAAAGTTCTGGATAAATCACGGTTGATGTTAAAATTTGAGCTGAAATTGAAACTGCTGTTTCAGATTTGTTTAATTTCAGTTTAGCAAAAATGTATTTTTTAAAAAAAAATTCGTGTTGTAAAATATTCCTGTTGCATGCAGTGTGTGAAATTCAATGTTCTCACTGTTCTCCGAGAACACTAATCAAATTTTAAGATCATAATTTATTAAATATGATCTCTATCTTAGAACATTAAATAGATTTTTTTGATATTATACAGATTTAATTTTTCTATATAGAGAACCATTAAAAATTTTTTTAAAAATTAGGGACTTAAAAAATGTTCTCAGTGAGAACATAAAGACAAAATTGAATTTCACACACTGGTGCATGTAAAAAAAAAACTTATGATGTTATAAGAAATATATTTTGACCGATTTAATTTATTTGCTTATATATATTTTTTTTTATCAGTGTTAAAATTATTATATTTTTAAATGCATAATTAGCCAATCAGTCAAAAATAATCTCTTTACATTCAGCGCTATATTTTTCAATATTACAAGCCCAAAGTCTATTTGTAATTGGATTCGAAATCAGAAGTAATACAATGTAATAAAATTAATTTATTTTTCAAGTTATATCATTATCATTGTCGTCAAACCAACCATCATCTTTAATTTCTTTCTGAATTCTCGGATTTTATAAACAGTTACGAGCTTTCACCCGACCATTGTTCAATCATGTACAATATTTATTGTGGATAAATCCGAAATTGAACCAACAACATTTCCCAGCAGCAAAAGAACCTGATAACAAGTTCAACTACACCAACTGATTGGACTTGAATACTCAATGGAGCTCAAAGCAATAGCTCAGAGAACTTATCAATTTTAGTAATATTTTCATATCTTGCAGTTTCAAAATATATAAATATAAACGCCAATTCACGTATAAAATATATTATATATATATATATTGGTCATCTCATTAAGCATGATACACCAACTTGATATATTTGATTTAAAATATAATTACACAAAATTTTACATATTAACTTGCAATTAAATAAATATATTTAATATTTGAAGATATATAGAATATATTT